CACTGAAGGTGTGGGGTGAGATTAGGGGTCAGCAGGTGGTGGTCATGGTGGATTGTGGGGCATCCAGCAATTTTATAAAAAAAGAGGTGGTGGAAAAATTGGGACTGGACATAACTGATACTCCATCTTATCAGGTAGAAATCGGAAATGGATGTAAGGTGGGGTGCAAAGGGGTGTGCTACGGGGTCGACATCAATATTCAGGGGACACAAATCAAACAAGATTTGTATCTCTTTGAATTGGGTAGCGCTGATGTAGTGTTGGGGTTAGAATGGCTCACTCAATTGGGGGAAATTAAAGCAAACTTCAAAGAGATGACTCTTAAATATGGAGAGAGGGGGAATGAGACAACCATTAAGGGAGATCCGTCGCTGTCTAGGTCGGAGGCTTCTTACAGATCCATCACTAAGGCCTTAAAGAATCAGGCACAGGGATTTTTTGTCAGCTCCACTGAAGAAGAGGCTCGGGAGGAAGAAGCACAGTGGGCTGAGATTGGGTCGTTGCTTTCTGACTTCGCGGAGGTTTTCCAGGAACCCAAAGAGCTGCCACCAGCCCGAGCAATTGATCATGCAATACACCTCAAACCAGGGAGCATGGTGCCCAACATCCGTCCATTCAGGTATCCCCATTACCAGAAAACTGAAATTGAGTTGTTGGTAGCTGAGCTGTTCAAAAATGGCATGATACGTCATAACACAAGTCCGTACTCGAGTCCTGTTATTCTGGTTAAGAAGAAGGATGGGAGTTGGCGAGTATGTGTGGATTATAGGGCCTTAAACAAGATTACCATACCAGACAAGTTTCCTATGCCAATGGTGGATGAGCTTCTGGATGAGTTGGGCGGGTCACAGGTGTATTCGAAGCTGGATTTAAAGGCTGGGTACCACCAGATCAGAATGAGGGTAGCAGATATCCCGAAAACAGCTTTTCGAACGCATGAAGGCCACTATGAGTATGTGGTCATGCCGTTTGGCTTGACCAATGCTCCCTCCACATTCCAAGCTCTGATGAATGAAATCCTTCGCCTATTCTTGAGGAAGTTTGCCCTCGTGTTTTTTGATGATATTTTAATATACAGCAGGAACAAGGGGGAACACCTGGGTCATTTGAGAACCATCTTTGGAGTATTGAGGCAGCATCAGTTAGTAGCAAATAAAAAAAAATGCAGCTTTGGCAGGAGTTCTATCGAGTACTTAGGACACTGTGTGTCTGCTGCAGGGGTCAAAGCTGACCCGGAAAAAATAAAAGCCATGGTGGCTTGGCCGAAACCCAGGTGTGTCAAAGGGTTGAGAGGTTTCCTGGGGCTAACCGGATATTATAGGAAGTTCGTGAAGGATTATGGGAAAGTAGCAAAACCACTTACAGAGTTATTGCGAAAGGATGGTTTTCAATGGAATAAGGAGGCAGAGGACAGTTTCCAACAATTGAAAGTGATGATGAGCTCAGTACCGGTGTTAGCTTTACCAGATTTCAGCAAGCAATTCACAGTTGTCACTGACGCGTCAGGGAAGGGGATTGGAGCAGTCCTCACTCAGGATAATAAATCGATTGCATTTATGAGTCAAGGATTCTCTACTCAAGCTCAGTCCAAATCTGTTTATGAGAAAGAACTTATGGCAATAGTATTTGCAGTCAAGAAATGGAGACATTACCTCATGGGTAATCATTTCATCATCAAGACAGACCAAAGGAGCTTACGATTCCTTACTGAGCAGCACATCCTGAGTGAAAATCAACAGAAATGGATATCAAAACTGATGGGGTTTGACTTTGAAATTCAATACCAACCAGGGAAGGATAACCAAGTAGCTGATGCCTTGTCTAGACAAATGATTTTTGCAGCTTTATCTACTGTGCAGTGGTCTGAATTGGATGAGCTAGAAAAAGAGATACAACACGATGCAAGGCTGCAGGGGATCTTCCAGGACTTGCTGATCGTACCTGATGCGCATAAGGGATTCTCCAGGAAGGGAGGGAAGCTCTTTTATTATGGACGGTTGGTTTTCCCAAAGTCCTCTCAGTTTATCCCTTCCTTATTGCAAGAGTACCATGATTCTGGGGTTGGTGGACACTCAGGGTACTTTCGCACCTACAAACGGTTGGCTGAAGTAGTCTATTGGGAAGGGATGAGGAAGGATATAAAGGAGTATGTCGCAGGTTGTGCTATCTGTCAACAGTGTAAGTCCCTCAATCTGACTCCGGCTGGGCTGTTACAGGCACTACCCGTTCCAACTCAAGTTTGGGAGGATATCTCCTTAGACTTCATTGGGGGGCTCCCAAAATCAAGGGGAGTGGATACCTTGTTGGTAGTAGTTGACCGGCTCACCAAATATTCTCACTTCATTCCCCTCAAACATCCCTATACGGCTAAGGAAGTGGCTGAATTATTTGTCAAAGAGATCGTACGGTTACACGGTTTTCCTGCTACTATCACTTCAGACCGTGACAGGGTATTTTTAAGTCACTTTTGGACGGAACTTTTCAAGTGTGCAGCTACCAAGCTCCATTATAGCATAGCGTATCATCCGCAAACCAATGGCCAGACGGAGGTCGTTAACCGCTGTTTAGAGGCCTATCTACGCTGTTTTTGCTGCACTAAACCCAAGGAATGGCCCAAATGGGTTCCTTGGGCTGAATTTTGGTACAATACAATATTCAAGGATACAACGGGCATGACCCCATTTAGAGCTTTGTATGGCAGAGATCCACCTACTTTGTTCAAGTGTGGGACGTTTATTCCTTCGGTTGATGCTGTCTCCCAATCCTTAGCAGAGCGGGATATCATCTTGCAAGATCTGCAGCATCACATCCTCAAGGCACAGGATCACATGAAGCACTTTGCTGACCAACACCGCAGAGAAGTCCAATATGCTGTGGGGGATTGGGTTTACCTCAAAATCCAACCCTATCGTCTTAAAACGATTGCTAGACGCATCAATGAGAAGCTTAGCCCACGTTTCTATGGTCCCTACCAAGTGCTGGAGCGGGTTGGGGAGGCAGCATACCGTTTACATCTCCCATCTGGGTGTCAGGTATATCCTGTTATTCATGTTAGTTTACTTAAGAAGGCAGTCAAGGCAGCTGCTGTTATCCAACCTCTCCCCTCGGTCCTTAATGATAATTGGGAATTAAAAATGGAACCTGAAGCTATTTTGGGTGTGAGACGTTCTGTCCAAAACACAGTTCAAGTGTTGATTAAATGGTGTCATTTACCAACATTTAAAAATTCGTGGGAGGAATTTACAGTTATCAACAGTCAGTTTCCTCAATTCAACCTTGAGGACAAGGTTGTACAAATGGGGGGGGAGTATTGATACAATCAGGCCCAAGATGTATACAAGGGACAAAGCAAGACGGGTATGGATCAAAGATAAGCAAGGCCCAAATGCTTCAGAAGAGCAGCTCTGAGGTGATAATGCCACGTCAGCAGTAGGAAGTCACAAGAATACCCCTTAACTGATTAGTGCATGCTGTGCCATGAGTTGGTTATATAGAGCGTGGGAAGGAATGGGGGAGGTAGGCTGGATATGGAAGAAGCAATTGCTTAGGAGAGTGTGGGACCTCTATAATTGTCTCACTGTTATCTTTTCATTTCCATTGTAATTTGCTGGGTTTAGTTTTGATGTAATTTTCCTTTAAGATGAATCAAACTCTGTTTATGAGCGTTATTTTGCATCTGAATAATACAAAAGAGTGGTTGTGTCTCTATTTTCTCTGCTGATTGTGATAATTCTTGGGTTGTTCTCTGTAAAACGTAACAGACTCCTTTGTCTCCTTGTTGCAATTGGTAGATTTCTATTCGAAACAAGTCTGATCTAGAAAATCTTTGGTGTAAATCTAACCATAAGTCCCTTGCTTTCTCAATCCAGATAACAGATTGCACTATCGACGGTGAAATGGATTTATAGATCCAAGCATTTACCATATCGTTGCACCTCTGCAATGCGAAGTGGTTTGGATCTGTTTCAGAAGGTTGGACTATGCTTCCATTGACAAATCTAACCTTGTTCTTGGATGTGAGAGTTACTGTCATCGCTCTTGCCCATGTGTGGTAGTTGCTTGCATTCAGCAATTGAGTAACCAAACTGCCGATGGAGATTCGTTTGGATGCAAGAAGAATGGATTAGAGGGATTAGTATTGAAATCAACAAGGGATGGTGGTTGAGTTGCATGTGTCTGTTGACTAGCTGAAGCTTGTTTAGCCATGGCGTTAGGATCTTCAGGATCCACGAATTTGCAAGAACTCTCTTCACTTCTCTCTCTGTGATATCAGAGCTCCAAGATAAGCTCTGATACCATATTGAAAATTTTAATATAGTCCATATGAATCGATGATTGATACAAAACATGAGGATTACATTTATATGGGCATGAAAGATCAAGAATACTGCCCAATGTGATCAACTAACTAATCAAAATCAAGAAAGTAAGTTACAACAGAAAACTGAATTCATAACCATATGCAGTTGAGTTGGTACGTTCACGTGATTGCCTCATGGATTCTTTTACAGTTTTATTTTTATCATTTTTATCCTTTCTGTAGCACTTTGTTATTCTCTTTGCTGGTTTCTGTTATCAGCTGCAATCCTCCTTTCTCGTTAGTTAGTTTCTTTGCTCCACTGCTCCTTGGGATTCTCCGCAATCTTAGGGAGTTGGTTATTTACTTTCCCTTTATATAGTTGGTTCACTGTATACAGTATCATCAAATGAAATTCAATTCAATGCATTTCTTATTTCTGAGTCTTATTTTACATATTCAGTATTTTATTCTTCCGTTGTAAAACGGTATCAGAAGAATTTTAGTTTTTGTCCTTGCCTTTCTTCATGGCTCGTGGCACTAACACCAACACCAACACCAATAATGGTGCTCAATCTTCCGGCTCTTCATCTTCCATTGAAGATTCCGGTAGCCCTTATTTTCTTAGCAACGGTGACCACCCTGGTCTGATCTTAGTCACCCACTCCCTACTGGTTCTAATTTTAATTCTTGGTCCCGTGCTATGTCCATCGCTCTTACAGCAAAAAATAAATCCACTTTCGTCGATGGTTCTCTGACTCGTCCCTCTCCAGATCATCTTCTTTTCGGAGCCTGGAATCGCTGCAACTCTATGGTGATTTCCTGGCTTCTGAATTCAGTGTCCAAAGACATTGCAGATAGCTTGATGTATTTCATCAACGCTTATGATGCTTGGTCGGATCTACGAACCAGATTTCATCAGGCAAACGGACCCCGCATATTTCAACTCTGTTTCCAGATTTCATCCCTCCAACAAGGTGCTTTACCTGTCAACAGTTACTACACTCGCCTGAAGTCCCTTTGGGATGAACTGCTTGACTATTCTCCCTCATATGCCTGCACTTGTGGGGCTCTCCGATCCATCTCCAACGATCGAGATCAAGAACATTCCATGCAATTCCTTATGGGATTGAACGAATCCTTCATTTCGATTCGAGCTTAGGTTCTTCTCATGGACCCCCTTCCCTCTTTATCCAAGGTTTTTTCTCTGATTTTGCAAGAGGAACGCCAGCGTGAGATTTCTTCTCCCATTCCTCTGGTTCCTGAAGCTTCTCCACCACCTATGGTTGCTGCTGCCAATGGGCCTTCATTCAGACGTCAGAGACCATTTTGCAACCATTGCAATATCTTGGGCCACACTAAAGAGAAATGTTACAAGTTACATGGCTTTCCCCCAGGTTATAAGCCCAAACAGAACCGGCCCAATACACATCCTCACTCCAATGCCATCATCTCTCACAATCCTGACCCACTTCTCCCTACACCGACACCGTCCTTTACCCCTCATCAATACCAACAGCTCATATCTCTTCTCTCTCCCCATCCCCACCCTACTCCCCTGTCCCCTCATCCTTCTTCCCCAACGAACAATTTTAATCCCACCGTAGCAAGTATCAATAGTGAGTTCCCTGCTTCCCTTCCTGCTTCTTGTTGGGTCTTGGATTCTGGAGCTACGCATCACGTCTCTCGTGCTCCTTTGTCCTCTTCGTTCTCTCCTTCTACCGCCGATTTGGTCATGTCTCTCCCTAACGGCATGGTCGCTCCGGTGGTATCCATGGGTTGTTCAGTTTTATCTCAATCTTTAATTCTTAGAAATGTTCTTTATATTCCTGATTTCTCTTTTAATCTTCTCAGTATCAGTGCTATTTCTCACACCACTAACTTGGTTGCAATTTTTTCTTCCTCTCGTTGCCTTCTTCAGGATTGGGTCTCCAAAGAGACGATTGGGATTGCTAACCTAGTGCGTGGCCTCTACATCCTTGACTCTGCTGATTTACTTTCTTCCAAGCATACTGTTTCTCCTTTCTGTTTGTCTGTAAATTCTAAGAAAATTGCCTTGTGGCATTCTAGACTAGGTCATTTATCTCTTCCTGTTTTATCATCAATGAAAAGTTGCTTGGATATTCCTGTTGTTTCTTATGATTTACAATGCACCGTTTGCCCTTTAGCAAAGCAAAAACGCTTGCCTTTTTTGTTAAACCCGCAATTATCTCCCACAACATTTGATTTAATTCACTGTGACATTTGGGGTCCTTTCAACCCTATTTCAATTAATGGTTTTCGATTTTTTCTCACACTTGTGGATGATCACACAAGATATACATGGATTTTTCTTCTTAAACACAAATCTGAGTTCTCTTCTGTTTTTATTAATTTTTATAATCTTATTTACAACCAATTCCATGTATCCATTAAATCTGTTCGGTGTGACAATGCACCAGAATTTAATATTCCTTTTTTCTCTTCTAAAGGAATCACCCTCTTTCATTCATATGTCGAAAGACCACAACAAAATTCAGTGGTTGAACGCAAGCATCAACACATTCTTAATGTTGCTCGCGCTCTTCATTTCGAATCCCATGTTCCTCTCCCATATTGGCAGGAATGCATCCTCACATTTGTTTATCTCATTAACAGAACCTCCTCTCCCTTACTGTCTAACTCCACTCCTTTTACCCTTATTCACAACAAACCTCCCAAATATTCTCACCTTCGCACTTTTGGTTGTCTATGTTATGCCTCAACCCTCTCACGTTCTCGTCACAAATTTTCTCCCAGGGCCACACCCTCTGTGTTTCTTGGTTACCCTCCTGGTTATAAAGGTTACAAGCTTTTGGACCTTCATTTCAATCGTATTTTCATCTCAAGAGACGTCATCTTTTATGAAAATATTTTTCCCTTTGCTTCTGCTCCTATACTCTCTTCTCCTCTCACTTCAATTCCCATTCCCACTCAACTCACCACTGCCACTGCTACGGCTCCTGCTCCTGCTACTGCTCCAACCAGACCTACTCGGGCTTCTCATCCTCCCAAATTTCTCCTTGACTATGACCGTTCCACATCAACAGCTCCCCCTCTATCCAACCACCTCTCTTATCATCGCCTTTCTTCTCCCCACATGACTTTTATCAATGCTTTATCCACCCATTTTGAACCTACTACATACTCCCAAGCTTCCCAACTTCCTGAATGGTGTGACGCCATGCACACTGAGCTTCTTGCTCTTGAGCTAAATAGAACTTGGGACATTGTTTCTTTACCTCCTGGCAAGCATCCAATCGGCTGTAAATGGGTCTTCCGTGTCAAGTATAATGCTGATGGTAGCCTGGAACGCTACAAAGCTCGTCTCGTAGCTTAAGGATACACTCAACAAGAAGGTATTGATCACTTTGATACCTTTTCTCCAGTAGTTAAAGTCACTACTGTCAAGCTTCTTCTTGCTCTTGCTGCTGTTTTCGGCTGGACTCTTCATCAGTTGGATGTGAACAACGCTTTTCTTCACGGGGAGTTAAATTAGGAGGTCTTTATGTGACTGCCTTCAGGGTATAACTGTCAGGGGGAGCCTCTTCCTTCAAATCCGGTTTGTCGCTTAAGGAAGTCTCTATATGGTCTAAAACAAGCCTCTCGACAATGGTTTCAAAAATTGAGCTCTACTCTGATATCTATGGGTTTTTCTCAATCAACAACTGACCACTCTCTCTTTCTCCAGTTTAAAGGTTCTGCTATGATGGCCATTCTAGTTTATGTTGATGATGTAATAGTGGCTTCTTCAGATTCCAATGCCATTCAGCCTTTCATTTCCTCTCTGGACAAATGTTTTCATTTAAAGGATCTTGGACCCCTCAGGTACTTTCTTGGAGTGGAGGTTGCCAGATCTTCCAAAGGTATTTTCATCAGTCAACGTAAGTATATTTTGGACATTCTTCAGGACACTGGTCTTTCTGGTTGTAAACCTCAAAATACCCCCATGGAATCCAATTTGAAGTTATCTAAACATGATGGTGATTTATTGGAAGATCCTACTTCATATAGACGTCTTATTGGCAGACTGATCTACCTTTCCTTTACTCGACCGGATCTTTCTTTTGCTGTTAATCGCTTAAGTCAGTTTCTCTCTACACCAAGAGTTCCTCATCTTCATGCTGCCCATCGCATTCTTGCTTACCTGAAGCATACTATTGGACAAGGTATTTTTTTTGCTACTGATTCTACTCTCCATCTCAAGGTCTTTTCTGATTCTGATTGGGCAAGTTGCCCTGATACTAGACGCTCAGTTTCTGGATTTTGCGTTTTCTTGGTCATTCTCCTATCTCCTGGAAGTCCAAGAAACAACCCACAGTCTCAAGGTCTTCGGCTGAAGCAGAATACAGGTCAATGGCTAATGCGACTTGTGAAATTGTTTGGCTTTCTTCTTTATTACATGACTTTCGTGTTCCTCATCCTTCTCCTGCACACTTGTTCTGTGATAATGATGCTGCTCTTCACATTGCTGCAAACCCGGTTTTTCATGAGCGGACGAAGCATATAGAGATCGAATGTCACTTGGTTCGTGAGCATATTTGCAAAGGATCTCTTCAGACCTTCCCTATTTCTTCTGCCAATCAAATTGCAGATTTATTTACAAAAGCTTTGCATCCTACGCAGTTCCAAGATGGGAGTCATGAATATTTTATCTCCATCTTGAGGGGGAGTTTTACAGTTTTATTTTTATCATTTTTATCCTTTCTGTAGCACTTTGTAATTCTCTTTGCTGGTTTCTGTTATCAGCTGCAATCCTCCTTTCTCGTTAGTTAGTTTCTTTGCTCCACTGCTCCTTGGGATTCTCCGCAATCTTAGGGAGTTGGTTATTTACTTTCCCTTTATATAGTTGGTTCACTGTATACAGTATCATCAAATAAAATTCAATTCAATGCATTTCTTATTTCTGAGTCTTATTTTACATATTCAGTATTTTATTCTTCGGTTGTAAAAGATTCATCTGACGTGGAAAATGACATGGAAAAGTGATGATTAAATTTCCAATAATCATCTCCATTAAGATATTAAAGGAGAATGTTTAATCGAAAAAGATCCAATAGAATTATGGCAAAGTGTAAAGAAGAGGTCTGACCACTAAAAACTAATAATTCATCTGAAAGCTTGCTACTAATGGATTCGTTTAAGTTTATAAGATTTCAAAACTATAAGCAAGGATAATGTCACAATCTTTTAAATTACTATCTTAAAAAAAGTCTTTTAAATTACTTTAAATTAAAATTATGCAGAGAAAATATTACTAATGAATATATGTTAGAGAAAATATTTTCTACTTTTCATGCCTCAAATATGCTCTTGTAGTAACAATATTGAGAGCACGATTCAGGAAATATTTTGAGTTAATATCATGTTTTATTGTTATTGAACAAAACAATAATAAGTTTTTGATGACAAATCACCAATCACAACCCATTGGTTGTGTACCATTACAAATGCAATATCACAATTTCTCAAAGTAAATGCAATATCATCACATTATTGGGGGTGCAATTGTGGGCGTGGTCGTGGCTGTAACAATGTTTGGCATCATGTGGTGATGACTCTAAAGCAAAGTCAAATAATAAATAGAGGTATGCAAATAGGAAACATTTACAGCAACAATCTTTAAAACTCGAACTACTTGTTATAGATGTGACATGACCAACTATTGTTCACTCATAGGTCTAAACACTTGGATGATCTTTATCAAGCATCACTTAAGAAAAAGGAAAAAAAGTGCATAAACAAATTTTATTGAAAATAATCCAAAAAATTTGAATTGGATACTCATTTGTATGTTTCAAATATCTTTTAGAATGGTGATAAAAATATTGATGGCTTTTCTGATGAAAATATTCATCTTAACATTTAATTATGCATTACGAAATATATTTTTTTATGTTTCCTTTTGATTATTATATTTCCATTATTTTTCAATCTTTATTATGTCGATTTTAATAATTTATGTATTAGAAAATTTTCTTTCCATGTTATTTTCTTTTGATAATTGTCTCTGTTGTACTTTAATCTTTATCATTGGACTCTATCCTTAAAAAATTGTAAAATAAAATAAAATGAGTCTTTTTTTTTAATTTGTTTACGCATAGATACAATTACTTATTTGTATCATTTGTTTCTTTTGAAGAAAATATAAATGGATGTGTTTGACGCTAAGATGAATGATGGAGATCCATGTGCGATAGAGTTGCAATAATACACATCATTTTAAGAAAATACAAAATATTTTTCTCAAATGCAATTAACTAAGACAAGTGTTAACACGATTTCTAGCATTAAAAACTTGATTAAATACTCCAGAAGAGCTTATACTATTTTACTTAGAGGAACAAAATTACTAATAAGTGATGCATTATACTAGTACATCTAGGAGAAATCTACAAAACAATAATGGTTATCACATTGAAATCATGAGTGAAAATAATATTGAACACTCCTGTGATAATGATGAAACTTTATTAGATGTTCAGATACCTAAAGATGTTGATGACTGACAAGATCTCAAAAAATTATATTTCCAATGGTGAAAGATGAAACAAAAATAAAACTTTTGTTAATGACATATTTGCATCTTACAAAATTGATGCAATCAATGTAGAAGATTATAAGCCAAAAATTATTAAGGAATGTGTATATAGAAAAGATTGGCCACAATGGAAAGATGTGATTCAGGCATAATTGAATTCACTTGAAAAATGTCAAGTTTTTGGCATTTTAGTCCAAACATGTTATAATGTAAGGCCTACAGGGTAATAGTGATAAAAATGAATGAAAAAAAAAACCTGATTATAATATATAAAACAAGATTGGTGACACAAGGTTTTCACAAATAAGAGGAGTTGATCATGAGGAGACATTGTCCCTTGTTGTGAATGCAACTAAACTTAGATTTTTAGTTAGTCTTGCATGTTTAAGTGTGGAGTTGCAAGAGATATTTGGTCTAAATTAATATGTGACAGACTCGGGATGTTTATGGATGTGTCGCTGTGTGGAATTGTAGATACAGTGGATAACTTGATTCGAGATTCAGTATTTTTTTTTTTTGGTAACAGTATCTTTTAATTTTGTCCTTGAATTGAACTAAAATGTTAATTTAGTTCTAAATTAAACTCACAAAATATACATTCTATCTTAATAAATCATATAAACTTCACGTTAATATTCTTAATTGGTAATTTAGATTGAAAATAAATTGAGACGAAATTTTAATTTTGTTGGACCGATAAAAAAAGTGCATGAAATGTGACAAAAAATTCCAAAAAATTCCATCTACTAATTATGTTTTTTTTTAAGATATTTCAATTAGTTCATTGTTTCGTAACTAATTCGATTCAGGGATCAGATCCGGAGATAAAAATTTTAAATTCCTCTCAAAAATAACATTGAAAAGAATCGATCATATATTCTTACCATAACTATTCAATTATCTGACAGTGTTATGTTACTATTGTTAGATTGTTCAACCTGATACCCAGTATATTGGTAATATTAGTGTATAGAGTCCACATCGATTAATTAACTATAGCAGTTAATTTTATTTAGTTAGTTAACTATGACAGTTAGTTAGTTCCATACTTAGCTAGTCTGTTATTACAGTTTATTCACTTTAGTCCTGATACTGATATATACGTCAGTTACATTGTATTTTGAACTCACTTGATTCAATTCATTTTTACGATGAGAATTTTCTTTTACAGTAAAAGCTTTCTGTTTCCTTTTGTAATATGGTATCAGAGCTCATCCTGAGTTCTGGTATTCATTGTCTTCCTTTCTTACATTCTATCGTTTCTTTCTTCCGTTCTTGTTATTGATCTCTTTGGAAGAAAGCTTCGACATGGAAGCTGCATACCAGAACCCACGTCCTTTACCAGAATACCTGACGAATCCGTCAAGTCCCTACTACCTACACCCGAATGAGAATCCTTCCCTGATTCTTGTTTCCCCTGTTCTTGATGGGAAGAATTATCATCCCTGGATTAGAGCCATGAAGATGGAATTAAAGTCGAAGAACAAACTGGGTTTTGTTGATGGTTCCATCACTGCTCCGGGAGAAACTGATCCTTTGTTCTATGCATGGGATCGCTGCAACACTACAGTTTTATCTTGGTTGCATCATTCCATTGCAGACTCAATTGTTCAATCCATAGTATGTGCTGAGTTAGCATCAGAAGTATGGAAGGACCTTCATGAGAGGTTTTCCCAATCAGATGTGTTTCGTATTGCAGATCTTCAAGAAGATTTGTTTCGTATGTGCCAAGGTGATTGCACCATTTCTCAATATTTTACAAAATTGAAAACATTGTGGGATGAGCTAGACAGTTTGCAGCCATTACCCAAATGTAATTGTAACCCAACTTGCCTTTGTGGTAATCAAATGCAAAATCTAGCTCGTGTTTGTAGAGAGAAAGATCATGTAATTCGGTTTTTAAGGGGTCTTAATGAGCAATTCTCACATGTGAGATCACAAATAATGTTTATGGATCCCTTACCGTGCATGAATCGAGCTTTTTCTTTAGTGGCTCAACAAGAAAGGCAGTTCACTGCTGGTGCTGCTGGTGTTAATCTTGATGTGAAGGCATTTCTGAATGCTCGTGAGCAGAATTTTAATCGAGGCAACAATGCTCCAATGAACAATCAAGAACAAATCTTTAATCGTGGACATGTCTCCCAGAGAGGTAGAGGGAGAATGAATTTTGGAAGAGGAGGAAGAACAAGTACTACAAGACTATGTACTCATTGTGGAAGATCTAATCACACAATAGAAACCTGTTTTGAGAAACACGGTTACCCACCTGGCTTCAAAACCAGATTTCCAAGAAAAGCAAATATGGCTTCTCATGATGATAATGATCTTTTCAGTTTTGAACCAGAGAATGAAACTGCAGAATTTGATGCTAACCAGTCTCAATTTACAAAAGAACAATATCAAAGTCTCCTTGGCTTGCTACAGAATCCAAAGCAAGAAGACATACATAAGTCCAATTTGGTTCAGGTTAATACAGCTTCTTTAGCTCTAGGTAATCCTCATCCACAATGGATCCTTGACACTGGTGCAACCGATCATATAGGTCACCAAAATTTTCTATTATCTTCCCTTCGAAATATTAAACCTGTTTTTGTCACACTACCTAATGGTACTCAGGTATTAGCCACTCAAACTGGCAGTGCTTACATTTCTCCCTTCCTCACATTGCACAATGTCCTTTTTGTTCCTAACTTTCATGTAAATCTTATATCTGTTGCCAAGTTAATCCACGATTCAAGCTGTCATGTGATTTTCCATTCACAAAGTTGTTCTATCTTGCAGAACAGTACCTTGAGGATGATTGGTTCAGCTAAATTGGATAGAGGACTCTACATTCTCAACTTCAATAAAAACTCGAATAGATATTGTTGTTCTGCTACTGATTCTGTCTCATCCAAGTTATGGCATCTTCGACTTGGCCATTGTTCCCAATCTGTTTTATATAAAATGTCTACTGTTTTTCCTTTCATATCTTGTAAAACTGATTCTGAACCTTGTGACATATGTCACTATTCTAAACAAAAGAAATTGCCTTTTCCTTCTAGCAATTCAGAATCTTTACATCCTTTCAATATGATGCATGCTGATATATGGGGTCCATATGCAACCCAATCTATTCATGGACATCGTTATTTTCTAACATTGGTAGATGACTACTCACGTTTCACATGGGTAATACCAATGAAAGCCAAATCAGATACAAGACAACACATACAAAACTTTGTGTCTCTT